GACTAGCACTTGATTTCGCATTACATCAAATCTGAATCACGCGTCAAGGTTACGGGAATAAATGAAATGACCACCAACTAAATGAGTTCTCGATTGTTAAACATACTGTCCTCGCTAGCACCATAGGAAATGATATATAGATTTTGCCAAGCCTAAAAGCGGACCTCCCAAGTTCGTAAGATTAATGATAACATAAAAGATGTGCATTTACCAAGACTCGCCTGAGACACCCCTCCTTCGTTTTGATAGCGTGCCCTACCCTACCCCTGTAATCTGAAGGCACGTAGGTACGTACGCTCGGTCAGGTCAGTCACGTGACAACCAAACGAAAAGAGGTTGACCATATTCCATGGGAATGGGGCTCTGAATCACGCGCGCGAAACGCGCGTGGGAGCCCCGCTATAAAGAGAACAGTCTGGAGAACATGCGCAGTACTGACTGTCAGGGTGTGGAGGGTTGCATCAGTGAGGGAAAATGTTTCCAAAATCCCAAAATTTAACCTTTTTTTTTCTTAATAAAAGACTCCTCAATTTACCAGGTATCGTTTAAGTCGAGGGAATGTGGTTTAGAGTCAAAGGACATTTACATGCATTTATATCAGTTTGATTGTAAATCCCATGTCAAGAATCAAGTATGTTTAGTTGTTATCTGCCGGGCTATGGATACTTATTGACCGAGTGTGAGGGCTGGGCGGGAGAATATTTTACCTCATGCCATGACGTACGCTAAGTCCGTGTTTCATGACCTAGAGCGAAATAATTCTCAGCATGGAATGATTTAACTTAGTCGAGGAGCATTGTATTGTATAAACGCGCCATTTCTCCGATCTTCCTTTCTGGACTGGACTGTGTTTCTGTTTTCTGGCCCCACTCGCGCCATTGCGTGCGACTCTTGCAAAAAAAAACCTGGGGGGCTGTACGATTCAAATGATAGAAATGTCTTATTTTGAAATGGATATTGATATCCACTAAGGTCAAAGGCTCGATGCGAGGGAACGTCCTGAGACACAAATGAGGTCTCTCCTTTATTAGAAAATTTGCAGATTACAGCCTCATTATACATTTCAGATTGAATCTTTTTATTCACACTCTAATTGCTTCAAAAGATTTATTTGCTTCAAAGTGCTCATTTCGAACCTGAGTAAAAGATGATAATCGTTTGGCGGGTTCCTCCAGTTATAATTTCAAGCAAACCCTTTTTCGTAGAAATTGTGTTGTCAGTTTCGATCAACAAATGTTTTTTAATTTCGCAACTCTTTCTTTTATTGCTGTACGTGATCTCGAATGCGGAAAATTATTCTTTCAAATTTGTCCTTCAAATATCCGACTCGGTTCAGCTGACTACAACGTTGGAAATTTTTCACCATTTTAGTAATTTTTTTCTATCCATGTACTTTTAATGACGATTTCCTAGTACATCATGACAGAAATTTCTGTCATTTGCCGCCGCATAAATTACGTCAAACGCGATATTGGCACGAACACTTTTTTCATCAAATCTCTCCAATATCTTCATTTTGGTTAATTCACTTCCTTATTATTGAAGATCAAAGCAAAAAAAATTTATTATTTTAGGAACCCAACAGAGAATTTTTTCTTATTTTTTTTGTTTTTTACCTCCAGGGCATTTGGCTCCACGAACGATTTACATTAGCGAAACGCTTTTCGCAAACAAGTTGGCTTTTTGTTTATTACCTACCGTTTTCACACTTTGCTAAAGCTCCACGTCCAAAAGTCCTTGAAAAAAGCATTTCAGAACCTTGATCAAGCAATAAAGATTGTTTTTGTTCGATCACAAATAGCTATCGAGGACTTCCATATACGCTGATCCATTTCAGACATCAATTTCACCTGTCACTTACACGACTGCCAGAAATAAATCGATTGAATAATTAATAAGTTCTCGAAGGCTTTCCCATGGAAACGGCTTGGCAGATGTTGTAGTATCAAATGATAATGGAAGCTTAACCATGGCTAGCCATCAAGCCTTTGCACCGTTAGAGCAAGAACCGAAATTCAAAGTCCAGCGACAGAAACTCAGATCGAGAGCAGACGATGGAACAAATGATCGGAAAAAAGAAGACGTGATCGCGCTTCCACCCGTTCGAGGTAAGCGGCCTATTCGTGTTTAGTGTTTATTTTTACGCTTATAAGCCGCCCTGACTTCTTTGAATATCTACACCTGATACAAGTTCTTGCTATAAACGTTTACTCTTGGTAATAAAGTGCATTTTTATTGCTAAAGCCGTTTGAAAAATTGTTCCCTATGTGAACTTAAGCTTTCCTTTAAATATCATTCTGTGATAAAAAAAAAGTCGATAAAGCATGTCACCGACCTGTAATTTTCGTTTTTCGGCCGATAAGGCGATAACATGTTTTTCGCTCCAGGAATCACCAAAGTTGAATTCTTTATTTCTTACGTAACGGGCAATTTTTATTCCTTTTTTTCCATTGTCTTGGCTGGCTTCCATCGGTTTTTAACTTCTAGCTAGCAGTTACATAAATCATTAACATATTCTCGAGTAGAAGTGTGTAAAATGCTGCCTCGATGTACATGTTAATTGCGGTAGAGGAAATTCGAAAAATTAAAGTTACCTCATTAAGAAAGCTACTCGAATAATTGCTGTTATTCTAATAAACCTGCCTTTAAGAGTTGTTTTGAAGTAAATGTACACCGTATAGATGCGTTTCCGAAATCCCGTGAAAAAATCTTCTTCATAAAATATCTCAACCTTGTATTTCTACTATCTTTTAACGGTTTTTTTATTCCCTAGACCCCATTTTGCTCAAAATTTATGAAGTATTCACGAGTTTTTTGAAAATTCATAATCTCAATTTGTGTGTTTGCTTTTATGATAAGAAACCCAAATTTGGAGGCAATGGCGTGGCAGCTCTCGATGGTAACTGTCAAAATGAGTCAGCTATAATTTTAAATCCCAAAGACAACATTCTGTTGTTATGTAAAATATATTTGCTATGTTTAATCAACATCCAAATGTACGTTTTCAGAAATTTCAGTCTCACGTTTTGTACAAATCTTTTTTTTTTTTCTGTTGAATCAGCTTGTGCGAAGTTTTGGTTTGAACTTCACGGCCTCTCGCTTCATGAAATCTGTGTAATTTTTTTTTATCATTTTATAAATGTGTGAATCGTTAAGTGTATTAAGTTGCTTTAATTTTTCAGATCGTTATTGGTTTATTCTCTTCATATGGATGTCATTTTTAGGGTAGATTGGCTTGTTTTTGTTTCGGTGATCATTCTGTATTTCTATGATAAGTGATCGCCTACACAAAACATAACAAAAGGCCTCCGAAAGGGATGTTACTAAAAGGAGGAACGGGGAGCGGGGAACGGGGAACGGGGAACGGGAAACGGGAAACGGGAAACGGGAAACGGGAAACGGGAAACGGGGAACGAGTGTACAGCGGTAACCCACCTGAGAATTCAGAATGGCGGAGTAAACGATGTTTAGAAACACTGATTTTATCGCTAGGTCGCCGCTTGCAGCGAAATTAGACGACTCGCTTTTATTTAACTATTGCCCAGGCGAAGCCATGAAGCCTAGTATTCCGAGGCGAGAATTGGAAGTCAACGTTTCTGCAATGGCTGCCACCATTTGTTCTGATGCATCTTTTGGCAGAGTTTGGGTATGTTGGTTGTTTACATTGCCCAACAGCATTTTTTGCAGATAAGTAGCAAGGAGGTAATATCATAGATTAACAGAAATGAGCTAGGAAACGTAATAACCAGCCTAGTTATTAAAATTACTACATGCAGATATCTGCTTACCTTACCGCAAAATAACATCAGGAACAGATCTTTGTATCGACCCATAAACTTCCAAGAAAACAATAGAGAAATCAAACATTGACAGAACTTTTGATAACATTTAATTTAACATTCAACTGTTTGCTTTACAACATTATTGATATTTCTAGGTTGTAACGGTGAAGATATTGGAGGTAAACTTCATTACCTTGCAGTACAATTACCCTATGAATATAAGAATAAATGCCGCGAGCTTGTAGTTCTGAGTTGATTGTTCAAGTGTTGTGCATGAATTGTAAGATACTCACCTCTCCGAGGATTTGATCTCTATGCAACCTGCAATGTGTGCCAGACAAAAACTAAATTTATGAGGCACTCAACATTTCAAAGTAAAATCCTTTCAATAAAACCTACACTTACCGTCCATGCTTTTTGCTCCGACGATCGGGTTCGAAGAGCACGTGCTCAAAAATAGTTGCCAGACCCTTTAAGTTCCCTTTACTCCGCCATTTTTAATTCTCAGGCGGGTTACCGCTGTACACCCGTTCCCCGTTCGCCGTTCCTCGTTCCTCGTTCCCCGTTCCCCGTTCCCCGTTCCCCGTTCCCCGCTCCCCGTTCTCCCGTTCCCCGCTCCCAGGTCCCGCTCCCCACTCCCCGTTCCCCGTTCCCCGTTCCCCGTTCCCCGTTCTTCGTTCTCCGTTCTTTGTTCTCCGTTCTCCGTTCTCCGTTCCCCGTTCCCCGTTCCCCGTTCTTCGTTCTCCGTTCTT